AGGCGAGTTACGAAGTTGCTACGTCGGATGGGCAAACGTTCGCAGGGAAACCTGGAACATTACCCGGGTTCCTGACGCATATACGACTTAAGGAACTCCTCGATAGCGACTTGGGCAGTGCCCAGATCAAGTGCGCCTACACGGCAAACCAATTGAGGGGCGCAACACGAGAATGGTTCGTGCGCTCTCTCCCATCTCGACCGCAATTACTGCAGCAATGGACCGTGTTGGAAGGCGCATTGGTCGCTACATTTGGGGAAGCTGAGGCTATCCGCAGGCAGCGGGAAGAATGCGAACTGGCCCACTTAAAGCAGACTGCATCAGTATCCCATCTAGTGGCGCAGCTTGAGGGGCTGTGCGACGCCCTGGGGTGGGCTGAAGCCGCGAAGCGGGGACTATTCATTAATGCGTTGAAAACCTCTATTCGGAAGGAGGTGCTCAAAGCCCCGCACGCGGGATATGCCGAAGTCAAGCGAATTGCCCTGACCGTGGAAGCGGCACTCGCACTCACGGACGATGCCCCATCGGGAAAAAAGACCCGACGAAGCAAGAAATCGGGGAAGGCTAAGTGTTACCGGTGCCATCGGCCGGGGCATGTCCAAAAGGACTGTTACGCAAAAAACACGGCTGACGCAAAAACCATAAACTATATCCAGGCCCAGTCGGCGACACCATCGTCGGAACATCGCGTTCGGGCCTGGGTCGGGGACACAGCATTCGATGCGCTCATCGACACTGGCGCTGCGGTCAACTGCATCCGAGAAACTTTAGCGCCCCCTGAACGTATGGCGTCAAACGTAACCTTGAAGGGGGCCACAGGAGTTCCTCTTGTCCAACACGCCCAATCATGCATTATCTCCGTGGACAACAGGGCTGTCTTGTGCTACATTGTATGCAATATTGCGAATGTTCGGACGTTGTTTCGCGCCATCTCCTGAGATAAAGCTATGAACAAATTATGGTGTGTTGCGTTTACCTGCTTAAATACACCATAAGGCTTCTGGTGCAATCTTGCTGACGTTAAGGCTTTGTCTAGTGCTAAGGAGGTATGATCAAAGCGTTGCTTGCGAGATGACGAACTAAGCTTTTTGCGCCTTGGTCATATGGCGTATAACTCCGAAGTCTGCTTCCGCCAAATGATTGACATCGAGCGGAGCTCTTTCACTGAAACCTAGAGGATCTCGCTATCATGAATTAGGAGAGCGAAAACTACCTTATACCAACCACATTGTTTCCAGCGCTTGGTTGTGATTTGACTTGGATCCGGATTCTGAACGCTGTGGCAGCGCGGTCGCGAACAGCTGGACGCAGATTCCCTGAGGGATTATTTGGCGCTTGGAAATGTCCAATAGAAAGTTTTTAGATAAGAACAGCAGCAAAAGCAGCGGGAATTTTATATCACCCTATCAGAGCTTTGATCGATATCTAGTTTCCGACTCAAACCTGTCATTTCAGATGTTCTGGAACTTACCCATCCTCGGAGTTTAAAATCCGCAGCGCAGACAGGAATGAACCACACTCAGCTTTGAGGACAACTGCCGTACACACCACCAAGTATACTGGCGTCGAAACTGTCCTGACTCCGAAGAAGCGCGAACAATGATCAATGTATGCGGACTTGGTTATCAAACTCATGATTGAAGCGATCTTCGCGACTTACGCCGGAGGCAGATCCAACGCGTGCACGAAACTCTTGACTTGGCCAGTGACGAGGTCCACCTGTACGTGGTGCCGGCTACAAACCTGTCTTTGGTACGGCATTTGGTAGCGCCAAGAGGCCTGAACTGTGGTGAGTGTCGCGCGAAGGCAGTCTCGCTACCTCAATGCCACATCGACAGCGTGGATCAAGTCGATTGCCGCCCTGCGGAGAAAATATCTTCTCCGAGCCAGGGCCTGCCCGGGCGCTCGACGTAAACAGAACATGAGGGATTTTCCAAGATTTTCCCCTGGTGCGTGCTCTCGGGGCCGCCACACGGTGAATGTGCTTCTACCAAATACAAAGCATGGCTGAGACACTCCCCAAACGGCGGAGAAGGCACGCAGCAGGAGAATTGAGAAGCCCTACGGAGATCGATCTGCTGGCTGGGTTGGGGTTACTCGTAATTACACAGACTGGCACGCCTGATGCCCTTCTGGAGGCATGAGCTGCTTGTTTGAAGTAAGGGTAATACATCTCAGCTGTTGTGCAGTTCGCCACGGAGCGATCCGCAGGTGATGACCCACATCCCTGACCAGGGTTCGAGTACTCAAAAAGATCTTCTTGTAGCTCTAGATACGCGTGTATACTGACACACCTGTGAGGTGCCGCTGCTTATTAGAACATCAGCGAGGATTTCACGGGTTATGATAGTTAGCCTGCTGCGATATGTGAAATCGAATATTTGTTACCTCTTATGCATTTACGGCGGAGAATCGCAAGGTTTGCCCTCGTGGATGAGACCGGTTAGCTACAATGTCCAAGTGGACGGTCAGAGAGAATGATTGAATCATGTTGTACCCTTGCGGCTTGACTTCATCTGAAATGGTCCCTTGAGATGGTTTCAAAAAGTAGCAAGGTTGCGAATATTTCTCGAGCCTCTGGAGCATGCCTACATACTGTTTGTGAGGCTACGGTCAGTCTCTCACCGCCACGGTGTCGAATAATACGAACAGAATCTGCAAAACGGGCACCAAAAAATCTACAGTGTCTACGTCGAGTTATTGAACGTTGGCAGAGGGTAACTTTTCCATGGCTCTTCTTGACGTCCAAGGCGCCTTTGACGCTCTTCTGCCCCGCCGTTTGCTGGATCGCATGCGGCATCAGGGTTGGCACATCGAATTGCTGAGATTCGTCAACTCATTTCTCTCAGGACGCAGCACCCGAGTGAGGGTGGAAGAACAGACTACTCCGCCAGCTGATGTCACCTGTGAGACCCCCAGGGTAGCCCGTTGCCTCCTGTCCTCTACCTACTTTACCTTGCGGAGCGGTTGAACCAGAACCAACAGCTACGATTTGGCTATGCCGATGACATTTGCCTTTACAGGGTAGGAAAGGGCCTTGAAGAGTCTACTGACGCACTGGCGGAGGATAATCGCGCCGTTCTTGAATGGGGCGAAGCCAATAAAGTACAATTCGCGCCAGAATAAGCAGAATTGATGCATTTTTCGCGAGGCAGAGACGCAGGGGCTCGCGTCCTGGTAGCTAACGGCACATTCTCAATCGAGCCCACCACGGATGGGCCCCTGCCTGCTATCAAGTGGCTGGGAGTTCACTTGGACCGCAAGCTGAGCTTCAAGAAACACGTCACCGAGCGGTGTGCGAAGGCACGGAAAATCACGAAGCACCTTCGTAGTTTGGCCGGATGTTCCTATGGTCCGCCTGCTGCTGCGTTGAGAAAAGCTGTAGTCACCTGTGTAATTCCAACGGCTCTACATGGAGTAGAGGCGTGGTACGGGGGACGAGAAAAACCCGCAGCCAACGGCAGGGGGACGGTCCGCGATGGCATTGACTGGCACATTGAAGAAGTACAGAAGGTGCTACATGCTGGAGCCATGGCCATCCTGCCCGTCTGGAAGACCTACCCAAGAGCGGCACTCAGTAGAGAGGCAGGATTGCCGACGGCACGAATGGCGCTCGAAGATGCACGACTTCGTTTTGCACGACGGATCCGAACTGTAGATGGAAAGCACCCGCTGGCAATCAGGGCTTCCACTACCCAAATAATGCGCAGCCGCACCTTGAGGCTGAGGACAAAACTACAGCGCGCAGGATTTTTACTGCAAGAGATTGACCGACCCCCTCTGATTTATCGGCGCTTCACCGCCGGATGTCGGTTAGATCCTACGAACGGCAAGTCCAAAGAAGAGGCCGCAGCACACTTTGTGTCGTGGCTCTCCACCCTACCCTCGTCAGATATCGCGGCGTTCAGCGACGGTTCACAGGCGGGCAAATGGGACATTGGCTATGGATACGTCCTCCAACAAGGCGGCCAGTACGTGGGGATGGGCAAGGCGAGGATCGACCCCTGCTCAGCCGTGTTTGACGCCGAGGCAGTAGGTGCGTGGCGCACCCTAGAGCGGGCTGTTGCACACCGGGAAAGGACAGGGCAGGGAAAGATATGGATCTGTGTCGACAACACGGCCGTCATCTGGTGTTTACGTGCGGATGCCTCTATCTCGTCCCACTGGGCGTTTCAAGCGTTTCACCATGTTGCCGATGCGCACAACGTCGAAATCAAATGGTATCCAGGACATTGCTACGTCCAGGGCAACGAGACCGCAGACGAACTAGCAAAGGACGGCAGCAAGGGCGATCTGGACCCGGAGGCTGGACCAACGGCCGCCGGCATCAAGTCTGAGGCCAAGAAGATTCTGGATGACATAGAGAGACAGCACTGGCCGGAGCTGGAAGCGACCCTCTCTGACCTTTACAAGTTTTGGCGACTCCCGTATGCGGTGCGGGAGAACGCCAAACTCCACCTGGGACGCCCGATCCTTCAGCGCCTTCTGACGCTGAGAACGGGATACGGAGACTTCGCGGCATACCATCGCCGCTTCCATCACGCCAACGCAGTTCTCAACTGCAGGTGCGGCCGACCAAAGGCCCCTTAGCACTTAGTGCATTGCCCGCACGTTGTTCGCCAGTGGCGAGTCTGGCCTTGGTTCTGGGATGGACCGAGGCGGATGCTGGATTTCGAAGGGCGGAAGAAGTATCTTGCCGACCTGGTCAGAAGGCCCACAGACTTTGCCGCGTTTGTTGCCAACACAGGCCTCTTTCGAGAAATCTGTCCGCGCGGCTGAGCAACATCTATGGGAAACACAGGCCGCAGGCTATCCTCGCAATGCGGAGGAGGACCGCGGCTGGGTCACAGCCCTTTGAGGCTCGAGATGCTTGCTAGGAACCTAACGTATGTAGATAGACCTAGTTTAGCACGCCCCCATGCCCTTCGGGAGGCTGCGAATGGCCGTTAGCGGTCATTTCGCCCGGCGTAAAACACCACAAAAACCCCCCCCCCCCCCCCCCCTCCCCCCCCAGCGCAGGAAAAGACGAACACAAGGCTGCCAGCTCAAGGGGAGAGGCCAATAGCAGCAACGTTCTGGTTACAGAGGTGCGAACACACTGAACACCACCCAAAAGATGCTTCGGAACATCTTGGCGAAATAACAGGCCGTCACCTCAGTCGCCGCCACCATTTCATTAATCTCCCACAAGAATTGCACCATCACCAAAGTCGAATAGAACATCATCGACCGGCTGTGCGATACACTCAAGATCTTCAACAACTCAACCCTCTTGTCACCGCAAAGCAAAAAACCCACAACATCCCTGATCTCCGAATTATGGACTGCTTGATAACAACAGTGGACGAAGCTTCCCTGTTGTTCATAGGTATCCGAAGAGATCTCAGGCATAAGGCCGAGCTCGAAGGCTGCTACGCTACTATGCAGCAAAAGCTGCACGCCCATAGAAAGTACTATTCGAGGCCGTCCGCGTACATTGCGCTCTACTTGGACCCAGGTACGTGTGATTTCACCTTCCAGACGAGCCCGAAACCCCAGAAAGTACATGATAGGTCTGACGTGGCTCTCGCGATAGCAATGGCACGGTCACAACATCAAGCACCGAGGCCGAGCTCCCCTCCCTCGCTGAAGCAGCCCGCGAACAGATAGTATTGTCTCACTTTCTAGATGCGATGACATTCCAACGCGACGGCAGCGTCCGTGTGTTTTGCGACAACTTGCAGACGATCCATCTACTCACCTCGGCGACGCCCACCCTCCTCACCAGGCTGCGGTACAAGGATGTACAGCAGCACTGGCTTAGGCAGGAAGTGCAAGCCTGCCGCATCAATGTCATCTGGGTGCCTTCGGCGTAAATGATTACAAATCGCTTCACGAAGCCTTTGGCCCCGCAGCAATGCCGCCTTCATCGCCATGCTCGGCTTGCTTGACATGTCTCTTTGCCATGATGCAGGGTAGGCTATCGCTTCCCTTAGGGGTTCATAGCAGAGCTCATTCCTGTTGGGCATGCAGTCACTCGTTTTCTCTGGCGGCGCGGGCGCAGGCGCCTCCCCTCTTTCACTCCTTAAATTTTTGTATCTAGGTACCGCTATATAGGCCTGAGCCCCCGAGACAGGCACCATCATTCTTCATTTCGGTCAATTTTCTTAACCTCTCTTCTCTTAGGATTTGAGGGGGAGGATGAAGAAGGGGATGATACTATTGATCTGTAATTTGAGTCTGTGAAGAAGTTTGTCTGAATTTTGCGTGTTCAAATTCTTTCCTGCCTTTAGTTATAAACTCGAGTGGTCCCGGTAGGACCATGAACTGATCCATGGATCGGCCAGGACCGCACCGGAATTGTAGGAACTCTTTTCATTGCCAGGTTCATATAGTGAAGGGAAAAATATGCAATACACAGAGCCTATTTACCCAAGGAAGTTTGTCCCATCGCGCAGAAGGGCAGCACTAGACAGGAAAACAGAAATCTTCAACGTTGATCACGTGTTGTGATGAGACTAGACATGAGTAATGCACTTCAAATCGCAAATACCCTTCTCCCCAAAGACCACGGCGTTTTATCGTATTAATGCAAATATCGTAGATCCCGTATAGCTGATCATAGCCGTGTTCTTATGGCCATTCATTCTAGAAAGCTTTTTTATCATTACGCTGTCGTTCTTACTCATGCCCACCACTATCCAGTTTTCACTGAACTTTGACCTCGCGATGACACCGGCGAAGAACAGGGCGTAATGACATTTTCTCCACTGCGGATGGTTTTCACTTCGCGGAGACGCTCTGTGCCTTGACTTCGTTTCAAACACATCTTGGGGTAATTTGGGCTAATATTCGCAGGATGGGTAGGCCACAGAGCCGTAAATAGTTTACCTAGCTTATACAGCATGCCTCCATGCCCCTCGAGAGGTCATCGTTAGTCCTTCAGAACGATTCCGTCTGGGCTTCAGATGATAAAAACACAGACAGTGCCCCTCTTCCCATACCCCGCGGGCATGTATGTGGAGCACATATACCTCGGGATATGCGGGGTGCGAGATCCGTTATGAATCCGTGGGGGACGCCCCACCCTGCCAAATATGCTCCCACAAAACACAGCATCTAATTGGCGCGCGGAGTGTGCCATACCAAATTTAGTGCAGCTCTCCTCTCGTCAAACTTCACTACTTCTGCCCGGCGTAAAACTAGCATAAATAAACAATCTTCACTCTTTTAGAATGGCAACAAGCATCACTTACTGACGAGTAACCCACGTCTATGGTAAGAAATTTATCTGTTTATCAATTCGCACCATATTTATCACATTCATAGTCTGCCCGCTATCCAATTTTCGAGCTTATTCATTGAAGAGTCGCACTCTTGACGGAACCTCTCCAACTCCACCACAACAATATCAGCAGTATTGTTCCCGGTTTTTCGACGATGAATCTCTCCCGGCGACAAAAATGTGGTCGCTACGCGATCTCTTCCAAGCGCCCCCATGCGAGGCCTCCAAGGATTGAATTGAAGGGCCACAGTTGATGCCGGCATGTTACTCCCTCCAAAGAGACGGCATCATTGCCGCGGACCGATCCATTGTGTGTGCGGCCGTAGGGGGTTGCGTCGGCGTGGCTGTCATTGCGAGAGATAAAGCAAGTTCTGTGGGTCGTAGCTCATCCCCTTGTCCCGAATGGGCTGATTTCCCTTCGGTACCGACTCCCTGGTCAGCACCGGCGTCTTCTCCGAGTCGCACAACAGTTGTGGCGGTGGTGGTGGCTGTCATCACTCGGTTGGCGGCCACATGCTTATAGACTACGTCTAGGCGCGATAGTATTGCGCACATCACCGGGCAGCGGTGAACATTGACACGGCATCATACATTGAAAGAAGCAAATTGAATTTCATCGCGAAGGCTAGCATTTTTCTGAAGACTGTTGCGCCGCATGTCCTGCCTAGCGGGTGGTCTGTATCTTCCCTCGGACGCAGATCCGCGCTTTGTATCGCTTCACGTCGCTGGTTGTGGGCAACCATCCAAGTCAACTTGAAGAATTCGTGGCTGTCTGCGGCGGTAATAGGATCGAGGTCATAAGTGTGTTCTGCGTTCCTCAACCGATTGCAGTTTCGTACGCTCGGCTTCCATCCACTCTTGCCGTAGCGTGCTTTGAAGACAAGATGCCCACCAGAAAGTCACGATCAGAAAGGCCCGTTTACCGGGCAACACTGGGTCTCTCCGGTCTGCGCTTTCCTACGCATCAACGGTAGTTCGTGAGCAGCGAATCGAAGTACTTCCAGTGCTTTAGGGTTCGCGCAACGAGCTGTGAAAGTTCTCACGTTTTTGTTGTGCGTTGAGCTCAGTTCTTCGCTATGTATAGACCACTCTATCGAAAAGAGTAGGCGATGCCTATGCCAAAGCATCGCCCGGATTACATAGCTAAGCCTTGATTTCATGTGTGAGGGGAACGAAGTGAACTGTTCGTTAGTATTGTGAAAGATTGTCGTATTGGGCCCATTTTCTTCGCTGTTGTCGAAGTGGTGTCTCATCTCTGCATCATCTTGCCGCTCCTCTTCGATAATCATGTTGTGCAGTCTTAAGCATGCGTTCATGACCCAGTGCAGGTCATCCCACCGGTGAAGATGGCAGGAATTTGTGATCATGTGCCATTTGGCTTGGATGTGACTAGAAGCATGCTCCACATTCCTCCGGGCCGCCTCTTGGAGCTTTGCAAAGAGGTTTTGCTCATCGGACTGGGGTCGAGGGGAACGATGAGATCAGAGAAGGGGTTCTAGGGTCTATGTGTCGGTGAGGAAATCCTCATGCTCGAAAAGGAGAGGTGGTTAGTATAAAGGTGACCCCCAGATCAACTCGGCGGAAACGAGACAGATATCTTTCTATAATGATGTCTAGCTCCAATGACTATTTACCGCCAACGTGACGCATCAGCGGCATGGGCCGCTTCGCCTACCGTGTCCAACCCTATAACAGGAAAAACCATCTACTGTACAAATTATCTCTCGTGCTCGGTGTTCCGCTCCCTTTGCAGTTGCTCTCCATATTCGGTTGTCGGAGCACCATGCTGCGCCAGTGGTTGTGGGTGAGCTTGTAAGTACACACCCCAAAGGTACTCCAGCCAAGGCCCTTGTGAGACAGCGCGCGGAGAGTAAAATGTAAACCCCGAATGCTACAAACAAAAATTTGTATATATGCCACTTGAAGATAACACATTTGAGCTGTTCAAGACCACCAGGTTGTTATGGCAACCTGAAATGCCGAAAAAAGAGTGCCAGATCCACACTTTCTTGCCGTCATAACATCAAATTGTAGCACTCCAGGGAGACGAATTCCGCGATGGAAGCGTATGTTTCTTCAAAGTTTATTTGTTCTGTGGTCTGCTCACGCTACGAGACAGATTTTCCAGGCCCAGTGCATGCAGTCTAAGCTGCCAATCATGACGGGACATATCTGTTGGCATTTTCCCGGTAGAGCCTCTCCAGGTCATCCGGGGAAGGCGATCTCAGGTAAGTCGGACCAAAGACTCCATGACTCACTGGCAAATTGGCGAAGGGACTCCAGCACGGTAGACTCTGCCATGCGTAGACCATCCTCCAACCCATCCGCTGAGATACCGTATGCTAGTTACCGGGTCGCTGCAGTCACCTTTAAGATTGGATGAATACCTAGCTTGACGGTGGCATCGAGCTCGTTTCGTCCGACCCTAAATCATATCCCCTCCGGCATCTACCGTGTAGTATACGCGACTAGAATCTTGCAGGAACGGCAGGACGGCCAGAAAGAGGTCCAAGGCTTGTTATGGGCTGCCAGTGCATCTGTGATCTTCAAGAATATCCGCCTCGTCATGCAAAGATTTCGGTGGGAGGCTTTATGACCAAAGGTCGGGCTATCGGAGAAGTAGTCACGATACAACCTCTCGAACCCAGCATCGTACTCGCGCTCGATATTTGGCCGGCGCGTGCTCTGCAACACTTCCTCGTCGCTAGAAGACGAGTCGGAATCTGACAAGTCATCGTTTACGTCGAACAGGGCGAGGAAGGCGAGAAAGCGCGAGCGTTGGAGCATTGCCACGATAAAGTTGGGAGTTGGGGACGGGAGAACTGCCTCAATGTAATCGATGATGCAATTAATGAAACGAGCTTTGTTAAGTGCGGAGGTGAGCTTAAGTCCACGGACCTTTGCGATCAGAAGGAGATTCAACTTTGTATGCCGTATGTAAAAGATACTTCAATCTTCGCGGTCCATTTTGGCTCTCACCGAAAATATTCTCGTCTTCGACATAGTCCTCCCTCTGACTACACCAAGATGCCTGTGCATCAGATCCATGTGTTTCTCTGAAGGTGTGATGGAGTGAGTTTCTCGTAACTCCTTCTCCAACGCGTTTAGCTTATACACGATCAGCGACTTGAACGATTTATTGAAACTGACGTCCAGTGGCTGGCAGCAAGGCGTACAGCCTGCAGGCATCATTTCAGCCGTTGCTTTGAAGAATTTGTTGGCGGTATTCATGTCCGGCGTCTTTTGGAATTTTGCATGGTTCCGTACGAGCAGCCAGTCTTCACCATTGGGCAACTTTTGGTGCAATATTCCTATGCAGCTATTCAACGGCCCGCTTGCTGTTGTTCGACTTTGGTATACAGGCGCACAAACTTCAGATTCGTTCTCCTGGGCAGATGCTTGTGGTGCCATAGGGTGTGGTTCTTCTGTACTCCTCTTCGCCGTCGTCAACGTTATCAAGCATTACAGTCTCGTCCCCCATGATGTCTTCATCCCAGGCCTTAAATCCTTTGCCCTTGTCTTTCGGTTTCGCTCAGTTGTGCTGGGTCACATCATCTCTGACCAGGCGAGTCCTCTGCTCGGCAGGTAGCG